TCAAGGAATTGGTTCTTTGGTAAAACTGGAACAGAATCCTATCAGGAGTCAGTCCTGATATTTAATCTAGAATTTTAAAACTCAAGTTTTCCTTGTTCAGCTCATTCTTAAATGTATCAAAGTCAACAGGCAAGACAAGGAGAAAGATGTCTAAACCATCACCAGCAGTTTTCCCGCTCATGTTCTTTTCAAGAATATTCCTGGTTTGAGAGACATTTCCTAAGAAGAAAAAACCAAAATAGATGGTGCTTTTAATTACTGTAGAGTGGAAAGTTTTCCTAAGAACAGAGAAACTCACAGGTGCTGGCAATGCACCAGCACTCGTCAGTCACGCACATACATCAGTTTGTGAACACAGCCCCTGGGCCACAACTGTGGGCACCACTAAGAAAGGCTTCCGGAGAGACTGGCTCCCCAAAGTGGCTAAAGAATCTCACATTATCAATATGATAATAATAAATCAATTCACCTAGTGAACCTGGAGATGAGCTCCCTTGAAGCCAGAGTTCTGAGGAGAGGGCTCCACAGAGTCTCACAGACAAGTCTATCAACCCATTTTCTGAAGAGAATTAGAGCAATTAATATTTCATTCAATACAGGATTCGCCCTTTCTCGTTTAGGGTGCGGGAGGACGGGGTAGGGTAAGCTAGACAGTGCCCTTTAACCCACTGGCAGTGTGATCAGTAGTTCTCTGCTCTGCAAACATCTGCAGTGCCCTGATCCAAGTTTCAGACCTTCCGTGTCAGAGTTCTCTTACTCATACTTTTATTCAAATGATCAACAAATCCTAGACTTTGCCTGCACTGATTCCGTTTCTGATTACCTTGTCTAAGAAGAGCATAAACTGCATTCCAATTCTACAAGTCAACTTGCCACTTTGCAGCAGCAGTGTTAACCCGGGGAGGGAAACTCGTGCAGCCTCCCCTCTAATACAAACATCGTAAGTGTGCTCAGAATGTGCTTTTAGGGAGGCAGCTAAAGCCTCTCAGAGATGGGCGTGGGGAAGGGGAGTGGAAATCACATCAAAACCAAACCAAGTGATTTCTTGCAGGTCTTCATGCTCTGCCTTCCACTCTGTCAGTGTTCATCTGGAGGAAGGGGAGGTCCAGCAGCCGACGCCACATGCCAGCTCACCTGGACGGCCATGAGACACCAGGCGCAGCCACAAAATCCATACCCAGCACGCCCGTGGGGAGAGTTATCGTCACGAAGGCACAGACCCTCGGCGCGACGCCCCCTCTCACTCAGGATGACCCTGCCTCCTGTCTTGCCGGATCCATCTATTCCAACTTTCAGCTCTTTGAGAGAACAGGCAACTGAACAGACTTTGAAAAACTAGGAGGGATTCCTGTCTCCTGTACCTTTTCTCTAAAAATAGGTGAATCCATTTAAGAATGGGTCATCTTGAGGTCCAGGAAACACATTTAGATTTCTGGACCCCAAATTATAGATTCACCTCCTGATATTTCTAACCAAGTTATGACCACTGGCTATATTTTTGCATCGTAGGGCAAAGGATTCAAAATCTCCCAGCGCTGGTTCGAAGAAAAAGAGGCCAGGACAACCAGAGAAAAAAGTTAAGCTTGTCTTCTCAGCTGCACTCAGGTTCCAGAGTCACTCTGGGCAAGAGGGAGAGGACAGGGAGAGAGGCACTACCTAGAGACTGGTTACCAGGCAGCTTATTCCTAGGACAGAGCGTTTTAGAGACAGCTGACATTGAATGCAGGAGTACAGTCCGTGTCACGGTTTTTAACAGAACCGCCTCTTCCGAGGTGCCTTGCAGATGCCGAGTCCTCGGGCGCGGGACGCGTAGCCCAGGCCCCTACCCGATCTGGATCTGTCCTGAGTACATAGTGAGGAGCAGCATGATGGTGAAACCGGTCAAGAGGCCCAGGTTCTGGATGGCAAAGGGGATCAAGGCACTGCCGTTCCTTTCATCCTCTTGGGAGACCTCATTCATCTCAGGGAACTGAGAAAGGAGAGAAAAACAGGAGAGCTGCAGTTCCTCTCCTAACCTCGTAAGTCCAGGACGATCCAGCGCGCGCGAGAGAGTATATCTAATAACTGCCATAATATTTATTATATTAATCTTATATCACAATATTAACATAATTAGTATATAATATAGATGGTTAATATTATGTTAATATATAATAAGTACATATAATATACAATTCGTTTACAAAGACAATTTGCAGCAATAGCCTCTGGAACTGGAATGCACCAGCCGTTCTCCCAGGTGGCTACCAGCACTTTACAGCTACTGGGGTAGAACAAATCAGATACAAGTCTGTAGCCCTGCATGTGTTCAGATGCTGGCTAAAAATAACCACTTGGATAAAAACAAACTTCTCACTGTGATCTTTAATAACCTTGAAAAGATCTTTTTGCTCCCAAAACACGGTCACCTCTTTGGGAAAGTGAGCAGCTTGTGTGAGGGGCCAGAGAACGGAGCTACAACATTGCTATGACCCAAGGCCTCCTCCTGCTGGCCAGAGACGCAGGTGACGGTGAGGAGACCTTCTAGTTCAACTAAGGCACAAAAATATCTCCGCCGAGGGGAGGGCTCCCCACAGGAGAGAGGAGGGGCGGGCGGAAGGGGGGCTTGGGCACACATGTGTGGTGATGGATTATCATTAGTTTTTGGGTGGTGAACATGATGTGATCTGCACAGAGTTCGAGGTATGTGGTGATGTACATCTGAGGGCTATATGATGTTATCATCCAGTGTTACTGCAATAAAAAATAAAAATTAAAAAAAAGAGAGAGAGGAGAGAATTTAAGATGTTTCTGTGGAGGGAGGTTGGATTGTGGAGGTCAATACTCTCATCAAAAATATTATTTCCAAAGGATATGGAAAATAACTCATGCAGGCTTTCCAAACACACATCATGCCAACAGGCCAGGAAAGAAATCAACCTCCGTAGTTATACGAAAGATGCAACAAATCAGGTGTTTCACTAGCAAACTGAAAACCACCTAACTGGTTACACCAAACGCTCGCAGGTCCAGTACCGCACATACTCTCACACACCACTGATGATGGACGAAGCGCAAGCCCTCACAGACAGCGATCTGGCCGTGCATGTTAAAAGCTTCAAACCATGGATTCCTTCTGAGCCAGCAATTCTAGTTTCTGAATTAGGTGCATCCTCTCACCAAATAATACCACCACTGAAAAAGATGCTTCTAAAGAGTGCGCAACATGAAAAATGTCCATGATATATTAAGTAAAGAAAGAAATCAGGAGATAAAATGGTATATGCAATATCATCATAGTTTTTAAAAAACAAACACAATGCATTGAGACAAAAGAGAAACAAACCTAAGTGTTGTTATTATTGCTTTGAGGTGAGAATGATTATGGTTAATTTTCTTTCCTCCTTCCCTCCCTCCCTCTCTTCTTCTTTTCATTTACCTATGAACATCTATTCTATAATAAAGTAAGGACTCTGGAGTTGCATTTAATCATTTGTTTTAATGACATATGCTAATAGGAACACAAACTTTTCCTCCTTTATAATCTGATGTTCCCTTAAAAAAACACTGAATTGTACACCTTACTTGTGTGGTATGTGAATGATTCCTCGATAAAGCTATTATGAAAAACAAACTAACTAATGTCATGTCTCCTTAGCTGTCCTCCCATCCAATGAATTGAATAATCCAGTCTAGTTTGGCACACAAGGCATAGACTATGGAAGACTTACCATATCAGCCAGAGAAATGTACAGGAACATTCCACCAGCCAGTGCAAAGATCCAGTTGGCAGAGAAGTGGCTGCCCGCCAGGATGCCAAAGGCCAGACCCACGTAACAGCAGCAGGCAGAAAGGAAGTTGAAGAAGAGAGCCTGCTGGATGCTCATCCCAGCATTGAGCAGGATGACAAAGTCTCCTACGGGCAAAGAAGAGGGGAGGCTGTGGACAAGAGTCACACTAGGTTGTGGGCAGAGAAGACGATGCAGACAGACTGCTTAAACTACAGATAAAGTCTGGGGAAAACCAAGACAGCCCCAGATGTGAGATGGCAGTGACAAGACTAAGGCACCCCTTCACCTTCGTGTGTCAGAGCTGTGATACCATCTGTGAAACCGGCCATGTACTTCCAGCCCAGGGCTGAAAACAGTGCAAAGAGTTTCAAAATAGATAATCACCTCTAGCAATGGCCTCATTTCTCTTTTGCTTCACAGTGGAATAGAAGGAGCTTCCTTCCTGACAATTACAACGACTAGCATTTTTAGAAAACTGACAGAAATTAATTTGCCCAAAATCACAAGCCAATAAATGGCAAAGCCAAGACTCGACCTCGAGTCTCTGAGGCTCCAAAGTCCAGGCTTTTCACAGTCTCCCTCTGATACAACAAAGGCCCTTCAACCCCTGACTCCTCTACTCCTTCCACCACCAGACTTCTAACATACATCCCAGCCCTTGGAAGATTAATAGGATGTTACTAAGAACGTATGTTGAGCACTTAGCAGAGTGCACAGCACATCATAAGTCCTTTCCACTGTCTTCCCCTTTAATCCTCACCGTAAACCTGTGAAGCAGGTACTATTATTAACCCCACTGTACAGTTGAGGAAACTGAGCCACAGGATATGGGGCTAAAGGGAAACAAAGATCCCTGTAAAAAACTCCCATCATTTTAAAGATCAATTTTCAATTACTAATTCAATTGTTAAAAATTAGTGGTTAGATTTCACGTAGCACAGAGAACGTGTTCACTAACGACAATCAGTGTTGTGAAGTGGGGGGAGGAGTTAGCCACAGGAAGGGTGCCTGTGCCAATAACTGAGGCAGCACAAGTAGAGAGGCAGGGGGCGTGCACACTGACCTAGCTCATGTGGGAACTCCTCACAGAGGATGGCCACCGAGGTGCTGATGCCTTGGAAAACAGACACAGTGAAGGAGGCACCGATAGCCAGGCCGTCGATGAAATTGTGGAGGCCATCGCTCAGGGTGATCATCCATGCCAGAGTGCCGATATCAGAGTAGCGGACACCTTTCAGCCAGTAACAGGCGCTTTGGGAAGCCTGCAGGTCCTACAAGAAAGCCCAGGCCCACAGCCCCTAAGTCAAACAGTGGACAATGGACCTTCAAAGTAGGCCTGAGTCATCCAAGCCATTACTGCTTAAAGGCCCCACCAAGCATGAGACGGCCCACTAACCTGGACAGACAGCGAGCCCATGATGACCTTCTCGTCCATCACAGGGGCCTTCCCATCCAGCTCACTGCTGCAGTGTTGAGGAATCATGTGGTCCAGATCCCCATTCTGCAGCTTCTCTGTCACCCCCTCCTCCTGGTCCTTCTTGGAAGGAAGTGTCTCAGAGGCATAATGGCTATGTCCGTGATGATGCTGGAGGGACCACAGACAGGGGTCAGCATGACACTCACCAAAACTACCCACTGAGCACCTACTCTGAGCTTGTGCTCGAGCACTGGGAAGACCTCGTTCCTGCCACTAGACAACACAAGCAGGCGATATGCACGGGAGCCAAGGGAAAGTCATCACAGAAAGCTGGACCAGAGGGCTTGGCTGACGTAGCACAGGCATCAAAGCAGTGACCGCAGGCCAACACCCATCCCTGCCAGGCAGCAGTGCTCCGAACGTTCAGAGCTCCTCCTTTGCAGTGGCTACGTTCATTCAATTCAGCAACCACTTAGGGGATGACACGTGCCAGGCACTAAAGCTATCTTTTCGGAACTACACTGCAATAATTGGTCCCATTCTTTGCGGTCATACTTCACACACAATGAATGCACATATCTCCTAAAGGTATAAAAGGTATATTAAAGAAATAATCCAGAATAAAACAAAGGGGATAAATTACTGCTTAGTAAAAGGCACACAGGCCCGATGTGGTTTCTGGTCTGCCCTCACCCTCTGCTCACATCTTCATGAGGTGAAACAGGATTTCTACTCATGACGTCTGTGGGGTTTACTCCACGGTGGGAAGAGTGCAGGTACGCCCACCGTACGGGTGGTGAGCGGACGACACAGAAACATTTCTAAGCCCAATGCTTTCTCTAGAAGCGCTTCACTTACCAACAATTAGGCCTCACCTCGTTTTTCTGCTTAAGAAGCATCTTCAAGATCTTCTCTGTGAAAAAGAAAAGATAAAAGCCCCCGAACACCACTGCAGACTTGGAGACATAATTATCCTCCAGAGGGTTGAAACCAAAAGCCTGTGGACCCAGGAAAACAAAATGAGTTTAAGAAAATAAAACACTCTTCACGGTTCCCTCTCCTTTCTTAACCACTTGCTTGACTCTCGGAAAGGAAAGACACGCCAAGATCACTCTGCCACCTACCCATTCCCTTTCCAGCAAAATCTAACCCTTGCTGTTTCCCTAATGGCTCATCACCACGCCTGGCAGGTGCTCTTCAGCTTATTTTCTGATGCAAAAGACAGCTCATCCTTAGAATGTTACCCTCAGTGAGAAGAGCCTTGGATATGGTTTTCTACTTTTAACGAGGACTCTGTCTCCACTTCTCCTGTGCTCTGCTACAAGGGCGGCCCCTGCCAGCAAATTCCATATTTCAGGGAAGACACTGTGTTTATTTTCATTGTTATCTAGTGCCCCTGGCTGATCTGCCCGTAAACACAAACCGAGATGGCGTAATTATACTTTCTAAAGTGGGAAATCCATCCCCCACTTAAATAGTAAGAATTGCAGCACTGTCCTGACCGCAGACCTCCCAGTGACCACAAAGCCAAGGAAGCAGACTGTTCCTTCATGTGTCAATTTCTGGGGTTTCGTCTTGAGTTGTTTCTAGAAATTTCACTTATTATGGAGAAGAAAAAAAAGAATCCATTGGGAAGTAGACTGGAGCAGAAATCAGGAGAACTCCACTCTCAGTGATGCTCCTCCCCGTGCTGGGGCCTTGGGAAAGTGTGCAGGGATCTGCCCCTCAGTTTCCTGACAAGAAACAGCCCTCTCGAGAACAGCTCAGAGATAGGTGATCCCAAGTACCCGAACTCTGGGCTGTTGAAAAGGTAAGTGTTTCTCCTTTCTGTTTTAAAGGGAGAAAATGCAATCTCAACCCCCAGTGCAGTTTTCTAAGAGGCACAAAGGTCAAGTTCTAGAGTAGAAACAGCACATTCAGGTTGACTTTCCAGGAGAGTCAAATCATTTTAGGGAAAGTGGAGTGAAAACAGGCAACTAACAGCTCTCCACGAAGGGTGGCAGAGTACAAAAGCACAGCTTTGAGAATTAGAGGGCCTGGCCTCCAGGATACGTGCTCTGGAGCAGGTCAGATTCCGCATCCATCAAATGGATAAAACCTGCTTCGTCTCTCAATGTCACAGAGTTGATCTAAGGATCAACCAAGAAAACTCAAAACCCCATCCTGGAAATCACCCAGTGCTAGAAGCAGCATGTCTTCCTGCACACTCAGGCTCTGTCCAGGCCTGTCAGACCACCTACAACGAAATCACTGCGAGCGTAGTGTCGCGAGCGGGTCTACAGCAGAGAACACAGCAAACCAGCTGAGGCCTCTCCAAGCTGCCCGCCAACCCTGACGAAGACCGTGCTCCCTCCTCTTTGGTGAGGGATAGTCTCGTTAACCTAAGCAAAGGGGCAAAGGTGCCATCAACATGTGTGAAATCAAAGCTTTCATTCGGATCACACCTCTGCCCCAAACGCCCTGCTGAGGAGAACTGATCTTTTTATTGAGACCTATGGATTCTCTTGATGTGGGGTTTCTTGTGCCCAAAGCCCCAAATTGAAAGCCATAAAGTGATCTAACTACACTAGGCCTTTTCACACAGCAGACAGCACTCCCTAGGCACCAGGCATCTTACAACAAACATTAACTCATGGGACCCTCACAACAGCATCATGAGGTCACTCCTATTATTTTCCCCATTTTACATATGAGGAAACAGAGGCACAGAGTGGTTAAGTGACTTGCCCAAGGCCACAGAACTTGTCGATGGTAAAGCTGGGATGTGAACCCAGCTCTCAACCCCATTTTATGCTGCCTCTGCTCGTGCCTACGTCTTAGCTTCACTTTCCAAAAGGAAAGGGCCTCCTTTCCAGCCTTCTGTTGAAATGGAGGGTCCTCCCACTGTGCCCTGTGGTCCCCAGGGGACTGGTGTGCTCCTGTGCGAGAGCCCTGGCTCGCCATACCTCGGGGATGAGCTGGAAGAGGGCGTTGGAGTAGAGGGTTCCAATCGCCAGAGCTATGAAGTAGAGCAGCAGCCTCTTGTAAAAAGTCTTCTTCATGAAGGGCACCACGCTGGCCCCCATGAGGGAGCAGAGGGAGATGACGGTCACACAGAGGAGACCATATCCCCACACTGCCGTTGCAGGAAGAGCCAGTCCCACCCAGGACAGGGAGAAGGGCGAGCGCCCCATTGCAGGCAACCACCATTTAGGGGAAGAAGGTGGAGAGGGAGGGGAGGCAACAAGGAAGGTTTTGGTGGATATTAACAAAGGAAACAAAAAAGAAAAATCAGAGAGACAAGTAGGGAGGGAGAGAGAAATAGAAAATTTGTTAGTGATTCAAATCTGACGAAATTTCCTTCAATCAGTTCAGAGGAAATGAGGAGGAATCCAAAGTGGCCTTGGAACCTTGTAGCTCCTGCCCTGTTGCCGTTGGTGGCCCCAGTTGCACGTGCCAGCTGGTGCGAGTGGCGGGGCGGGCTGCTGCCTCATCACACAGCTGAGGTGTGCTCAGGCCTACCCAGAGACTGCCCGGGCCAACTACTCGAGGGCTCTCTTCACCAGAAAATAAGAGCAAGGGAAAGACACTGACCATTGTGCTGCCCGTCTGCTTTGTACATCCGACCCGAACTGCAGAGGCACATGCAACACCGCCTGGACTTGGAGGAGTTTGTGCAAGATACACAACCAGTCAGACGTGCAGGGCAGAACGGATGGAGAACAAGTCAGGGCCTATGCCCACAAACTGTTTCTTAACTTCTCAGGGATTTTTTGTTGGTTGATTGGTCGGTTTCCATTTGCTTTGAGGGGGCTCTGGCACAGAGAACAGAGTTCCAAGACCACCCTGTCACAAAAAATATTTCCTCCACCATTTCCCAGTGTCACAGACCCCAGGCAGGACAAAACCGAGCCAGGGTGAGGCACTCCCCTGTGAGCCACAGTGGGGAGTATGTACAATTACTGTATTTCCATTCAATAGGCAATGAGGCATTTCATTTCAAATCTTTAAAAAATTAATAAATTCAATTTCTGGAGCTGAAAAAAAGAGCCCAAGATGAGGCCTGCCTTGAGAAGTGCTTACTGACTTCTGTGGCATTCTGATTGAGTATCAGGACGGTAGTGCTCAAACCAGATCTGCTCTTTCATTATGAAGAAGGAAGAGGCCAGGCCAGGCCTGGGCACTCGCCTGCTGTCTCTTCGGGGTGAGTCTCTTGATTGGGAAGGCTGGACGGCCCCAACACAGGCCCTTTAGGACAGGCGGCTGCCCGTAGTCACCCTACTGCACACGTCCCTGCTGGGCCGAGAAGTCGGCAGTGTCAACTTGGGTCTTATTTTTTTGAGCTCCTCAGTGGTCACAATTAAAAAACAAAATTAACAAACATGTCAAAACAGTCAAGTAAAGGCACCAGGAAGTCAGTCCTATCAGGAAGAAGTCAAGATGCAAACTATGACGGATTGAGTGCCCCTTCTCTTTATTTTGTAATTTTAACGTCATTTGTCTCTGTTAGTCTTCATTCCAAGTTTGGCTCTCTATGCTACAAATTACGGCCTGCTTTTAAAAAAGGATCATTTGGTTTTCAGGCCAATTTTACTTTCCACTTGGCAACCTCTTTTCCCTCTAACTCATTCCAGATTGATAACCTTGCGGTGGCCTCCACTTAGAACAGAGCAGGCACAGGGTACCAGGGGCATGGATGGCAACCAATGGCTGAAGCCTTCCTTCTGAGCCCTGCAAACGGAGCTTAGGAAAGGCAGTGACTGGGGAAGGGAGGCTGTGAGGTCCCCAGCAGGAGGGCAAATGCTAAGAGCCTTGCATCTGACATCCCCTGAAGAGGCCAGAGACAAACCTGTGCCCCAGGAGTGAGAGAAGGCCCTTGAGACCCCGAGTCAGAAGTCATTTCCATGATATGAGGGAGAAGTTAATTTTTCAGGCAGCAGCTGTCGGGTGCCTTAGAGCACAGGGTGGGAGTG